TCTCGCTAACAAGTTCTTTTTACTCTCCAGACATCATACACTCATCCCAGAGTACTCGATATTCCTCGGGGCAGAGTTAAACTACACCTACCTTTTACGCTAATAAATGACATTCATTGTAATAAATTAATATAAACACAGCACCCTCTATCCAGACAAAGAAATCTGGTCACATCACTCCCCCGGAATACTCGACATTCCCTGGGGCATGATCGAACCCACGCCTTTCTCGCTAATAACTTCTTTTTATTCTCCAGATGTCATATTCTCACCCCAAAGTACTCGATATTCCTCGGGGTGGAAATTGTGAGATTGTGTGGTCATCATCTTTCAGACACGCAATATGGTTAATGTGTTGGCAACTTAGATACTCATTAAAATCATAATCTCCCAGATAGATAGGTAAAAAGATGTAAATTTTAACAATATATTAAGTAGTAACGTGACAGAACCAACGATAAAGATTGTGAAAGACAGCCAAACCCAGCTAGGGTAGGCGGACCAAAATAATCGATAACGACCAAATATTTTCTATAGTGTGGTTGATCAAGAAATATCTAGACTTGGTTACATTTTTGACATCTCGAACTCCCCAAGTGAACTGAATTGTGCAAACCTTTTGACTAAAAACTGTATTTTCTCTTGGTTACAAGGACTTGATTCATTAATATGAAAATTTTTTATGTGACTGATATTTTCTACGAGGTATCTAATTTTTTTTTAAATTTAAAACTATTGATGCAAAATCGAAAATCATACTTTTCTGTCATCTTGAAATGATAGTTATTTATAAAATAAGAAAGTTGTAAGATGCTTCTGGTTGAATATTATAAAATAATAGTCACAATTTTAAAATAAAAATTCGAAGTAATTCGCGTTTTTTTTTTAATTTTTGCGATATTCTAAGAGCTTTCTTCAGACTGGGAAAAGATAAGAATAAAACAGATAAGAAATGGACAAGAGTCGATTGATTGCAACATATCCTCGCTTGAAAAAAATCGAACATTTTTCAACTAAGTTTGTTGCTATTTTGTTGAAATATTTTCTGATAATCTGGGATTGCGGCGTTGCATATAAAAAATTGAAAAATGGCAAATATAATAGGTTGCAAGCTCTTGAAATGTGAATTTTTAAACAAAGAACTTGCCTATTTGCAGAAAAAAATTATGAAGTATTATTGAGCAGTTATTGTGGTGTTTATTTATCAGCATAAAATGAGATTGGTTGTAAGATCTGCCAAATTATTTTCCCATGCTATTTCTGCTTATCTTATCTGTTTCGTAAAAAAATACATCTAACACAAAGCAAACACGGAACCGATCCTCGCCAACACTGGTCATCAAAATTCCGAATCGACGGAATTCGAAGAGGAATTTTCATAAAGGCCATTCGGATCAAATGAAAAGTTGATATCAACATGAAAAGGGGCCCGCAGTGGCCGGCAGGGCAGTGAATTGGCTCTATTATTTAATAGGTCTGAGTCCACCGAGTAAATTTTTTGCACCGTCATCATTTAGAGCCAATGCAGCTTTTTACGTACGCAAAAACTAGGCACTGTCTTACGAAAAAAATTTAAAATTTATTTAACAAAATTTTTTCTAATAGTACAAATTGACCTTTTAAACCATGATTGTTTTCACCCAAAACAAACTTTTTTCCAAATTAAATTAAATATTTACAAACGAATTCATCCTTGATTTAGAAAAGTTAAGGTCTAATTGACCAAATTATCTATTTCAATTAATTATTCCTTTTATGTAAAGTCTTGGTTGAGATGAAAAAATAAGTGTCACGAGCAGGATTCGAACCTACCGGGAATCCAGCCGAAGGTCGTGGGTTCGAATCCCGCTCGTGACACAGACTTTTTCATCTCAACCTAGACCTTACATAAAAAGAAAAATTAATTGAAATAATTAAAGTAAAAAGTTAAAGTAAAGTTCGTTCAGGTATTATTGTTTCACTTACTAACGCAATCATAAAAATATCAGAAAACACCAACAAAACTTTTTTTCGAGAACCCTCGAGCTAAACTAGTATTGCCCAGGTTCTTGGATATACGTCAAGCCTTTGATCAGTTATGTCATTCCGGATTCTTGCAGATGCTTATGTGCATTCTACCAGTTAACTTATACTAAGATACTACCTTATCTATCAGTATCTATAACATTCTACGTGGAGTCCCACAGGGCGGTGTCTTCGCTCCCTTGCTCAACTCACTTTACGTCCGACACTTTCACCCTTACATTCTTCCGTGAAACTTCAATAATTTGTTTTGATAATGAACCACTCACATCTTACAGAAATCTCCAAAACCAAGTGCATATTCGCGAATCTCGGCTCTGATAGTGGAAAATTAAAACCGACAAAACAAATATTCACAACGCTGCTTAAATTCGTATCATTTTTTGTGATGTATCCAGCTTTAAGTGATCGATATATCGACCAGTTTTTTATTCACGAATAATCACGACATGGTCTTGATGACAAAAAAGCAAACAATTATTACTGCCAAGCTTTCGACCTATTTTAAGGCCATCTTCAGGGCGTTTGAATACATCCCAAAGTCGGGGCTAAGTCTGTCTTCGAAAAAAATTGAAATATTCTATTAAAAATTTAATTATGTCAATTTGTAGAAATATTTAAGATTGTTTTGCTCAGACGATGACCTTAAAAAAGGTGGAACTTTTGGCAATAATCATTGAGCTGCTTTTTTCATGTAGACTATATCGTGGTCCAGATTATTCGTGATTTTAATAAAGTTCCATTTCGTTTTTCCATTTGGTTTTTTTCCTAAAGCGCAGACATTTAAAAAAAATTCCAAAATCAATTTAATATTGAAAATGTTTAATTTTTCTTGCTAAGAATTCGATTTTATTTATAAAAGATGTTCAGTTTAATTTGAAAAAGTTTTAATTAAATTTGAAAACAGTATGTACTTAATATATAGCATAATTTTTTAAATTGCTTTTCCTGTTGCTTCCATATTCTGTGTTCATATTTCAGTGAAAGTAAAATTATTTACTATTCATTAGTGAAAAAGACGTCCATAGATGTAATAATAAACACAGAATATACAAATAAAAGCAAAAACAATTTGCAAAAATAAAATAAATATATAAATTTTTCAATAGGCTTGTTATAGAATGGTTGTTTTCTATTTGTAATTTTATTGTACATGAAAATTTAGGGGTAAGGTCCAGGAAAAAGGCGTTCAAATTGGCATTATATCTAATTTTCAATATGAAATTTTACAAATATTTTAAGTTATAAGTGTAGCAGTTTTATATTCAAACCTAGGGATTCGGCCAAGAAAAGAAACTGAAAAGCTGATATTAATCATATCTAAATAATTTTGTGTACATTTTTTTAATAATTATTCAGAAATCGTGAGATGCGGTCTGGTGTGATTTAGGTTTCAGAAAAACATTTTCTTTATCGTGCCAACGTTTCGAGTTTTATTGAGATCATCTTCAGGGCTCAAAGTGTTTGTCTTCTGTGCAATCGTGCCATTCTTGCGTGTCGTGTTGAGAGTGCCAGTGCGATATATGGTCACTAATCGCCACACATTTTTCTAATATTTTACTAGGCTGTGTTACTGTATAAAAAATAAATATTCCATTGGATTCAGTCAAATTTAATTGTGATTGAACTCGTTCGTTGGTTATTTACGGGTTTTATCGTTTTATATTTATATTTTTCACTTTCATGGAAAACTGCTTTCACTTAATGTCAGTTAAGCCGGTGCAAGAATATTTCAAAAACAATTATTTGTAAGTATTGAAGTTTTAAGCTGTGCTTCAAAGTGTGGGAGTATCAATATAATTTATTAAATTTTTTAAGTCTCATGCAACTCTATTACAACACGATAACGTTTTCAGTAAATACTCGGTCAACTTAACCTTTCCGTACTTTGCCCTTAAATAATCCGTCGTGAATGATGGATGGCTCTAGGTATTCCCAGGTATTCGAGTGGATTTGGCGGCGTGGCATGGGTAATCGGCCAGGTATTAAGACAGGCAATATGTCAAAGCTCCACAATAGGCCGGTGACAAAACGTCTCAAAAATATATATCCCAAGCAAAAAAATTCCCATTGTCGAAAAATATAGTTAATCAATCTGGTTAAGTGTTATTCATGGGAGACGTCGGGAGAAACCCGTAGTCACAGGTTCTTCTGAGGTGAATAAAAGCCTACGTGGTCATGGATGACTAAGAAGAATCAAAATCGTCTGTATTCAAATAATTTGTAATTTTTGTAATCTCAATACTGTTTAAATTATTAAACAGCTCAATTATTGTATTATTGCATTAAATATTAATAAACAATAATTAGATGATTAAAAAAAAAAGAAATTCCAATTAAAAAATTTTGATAGATGGTGTGCGGGGAGTTCACGAGGGAGAAAGAGAAGGAGAAAGAGAGAGAGAGAGAGAGAGAGAGAGAGAGAGAGAGAGAGAGAGAGAGAGAGAGAGAGAGAGAGAGAAATATATAGGAATTGATTGAATGTTTAACCATTTATTTGTAAAAATACGTCTCTATGACGTTTCTTACACAGAAAGAGAGAGAGAGAGAGAGAGAGAGAGAGAGAGAGAGAGAGAGAGTGAGAGAGAGAGAGAGAGTGAGAGAGATATATGAATTGATTGATTGTTTAACCATTTATTTATAAAAATACGTCCCTATGACTTTTCTTACACAGGAAGAGAGAGAATGAGAGAGAGAGAGAGAGAGAGAGAGAGAGAGAGAGAGAGAGAGAGAGAGAACTGACTAAACATTACATATATATTTAAACAATAAAATTTGGTAACTACATTTTGTATTTTTTCAAGTACTGGTTTATTTATTTGTTATGAAAAAGGATCGTCTGCACAAAAAAAATGTTATTTTGAGTTTGAGTTGTTTAAAGTTTCTTGAGGTGAGAATATCAAAAGTGGTTCGGATTTTTTGTTTGATCTTGAAGGACAAAAAAAAGTGATCTTGACTAATTAAGGGTTATGTTTCAGGGGCTGCGATGGAGGGGATGAGGGCTAACTGCTATGGGGTAGTTGTTGCCTCAGTCCGAATGGGATGGCCGTCAAAGAAGGCAAGGATGTGGCCACCAACAACAACCATGTGTACCATCCTATTACCGAGCTAGTATCGTTCCAGCCGAAGAGAAGCCGATTCAAGTTGTACGCACCGGTAATTATGTACCCGAGGAAGCGGCGGTTCGTGTACCTACTGCTGTTCTTCTCCATTAGCTTTTCATTCGGTTTGATGTTCTTCACGAAAAGGCCGGTCGACAAGTGTCAACGGGGAAAGCAGCCGTTTCCCGAAATGGTCACCGCGGATATAAAACCCAAGGCGAAAATCTCCGGTGGGAAGAAGTCGCTCCTTTTCGTTGGGGTGATGACGGCGAAGAAATATTTGTCGACTCGGGCCACGGCCGTATACGAGACTTGGGGTCGAAATGTTCCCGGTAAGATAGAATTTTTTTCCTCCGAATGGTCCACCGCCCCTAGCAACAGACCGGACCTGCCTCTAGTCGCGTTAAAAGGCGTCGACGACTCATATCCTCCGCAGAAAAAGTCTTTCCTCATGCTTCAGTACATGTGGGAAAATTACGGAGACGAATTCGAGTGGTTCTTAAGAGCGGACGACGACGTCTACATCCGGCCGGATAAAATCGAACCCTTCTTGAGGTCCGTCGACTCCAGCAAGGCTCTGTTCATCGGCCAGGCGGGCAGGGGCAACCAGGAAGAATTCGGCTTACTCAGCCTCGAGTACGACGAGAACTTCTGCATGGGCGGCCCGGGTGTAATCATGAGCAGGGAAACGCTCGCCAGGGTGGCACCTCACGTCAAATACTGTCTCAGGAACCTCTACACGAACCACGAAGACGTGGAACTGGGACGATGCGTCCAAAAATTCGCAGGGATACCATGCACTTGGTCCTACGAGGTATGTAATATTTTTTTCACAGTTTCAATATCAAAAGGAAGAGGAATTAATAGACTCATACATATTTCTGAACTGGTGATTAACTACTGGAAAAAAAATTTATAGTCTTTTTTTCATTCAAGGCTTTCAAGACCTATTGATTGTTTGCAAATTAGAATATGGTATTTTTGCCACCACAATGACAAGTTGAATAATTAACTTCCTTAAGAAATGCGTATGAACATGTAAGGAAATTAAATCATTCTTGAACCCGTTGACCCAACGCCATAAATCCATGCAAACTAAATCAAGCTAATATAAAGTCGTATTAAATTCACTACTAAATGTCCAGATATTGCTTCTCCTTTTATGATAGTAAGCATAACAAATTTTATTAAAGTTACAATATTGTGGATTTACTTGTTCTTAGTACATAATTCTCTCCCTGTAATAGTAAACTTTCGGTTTGTAATTAAGGAATTTAAAAGATTATTAAACAAAATAATTGTATGCCCCCTCTTTTCTTTGACTGCTAAAGTATTACCCTTCTCCTTGCTAAAAGGAGGACTCGATACCGTTAAAATTATAAGGACTATGAGCCTTTTAAAGAAATTCAGGAGGAAATGGTACAGAATGCAGAATTGGCGAGAACCGGTTACTCAACCGAGATCAAATTCGCCCAATGTAATAAACGTGCTTTTGTTACCTGGAAAAAATTAACTGTTAATTTTTTTTTTGAATGGTTTTATAATTTGTAAATCGGTTCAAAGCAGACTTGGAAAGTAAGACCAGAAATGTAAGAAATAGACATCGTTTGGTGTGCTTTTCTCGCTTAGATTTTGTCTATTTTTAGAAAATCTGTTTATTTGGCTATTACCACTATTAAAGCTTTATAATCTAGGTCAATGGTTTTACGGAACGTAAAATACTTCAAACAGGTCCTGAATTAGCTGTTACACTTTATATTTTCAAACTGTAGATATTTTATTGAAATATTCTTTTGGCTCGACGATAGGAGTGGCATTTTTGATTGATAAGGTGAGAGAATTGATTTACGAGCACTTCATGACATGAAGTAAAATCTAGTTTCTCCAATCTAATAGAAGCTTTATTTTGTAACTTTTCAAATTTTAGTATGCTTTATTATAAATCAGAAATCTTAAAAATATTAGCTTCTAATTTATTTCTGGACACTCCGGGCAAAAATGGATAAATCCAAAAGCATCAGTTTTCAGGATTGCAATTTTAAAGTTTAGACCTTTAGTACATTTTTGGCAATTTTGTTTTTTCCCGACTTTAACAATTAAAACTGTTCAGTTAGTTTTGGGAGAGTTGGACATGTTGGAATGAAATGATAAATTTACTATTGAATGTGAATATAATAGTTGCATACCTTTTCTTAATTTATTGATACACAGTAATGAAAAAAATAAATTTTCTCTAAATTTATATAAAAACCATACACATGTAAACGTTTTATTACATTATTATTTTATTTTATTAGATTACTCATCACACCCCTTCAATTAAAAATATTATTAAAATATTTTTTACATACAGTGATATGATATATCATATAATAAATCTCGAGGAGGTATGTAACTTATTATATATAAACAACTATCCAGATGAATTGGCCATAGATATTATTAAAACATAAAAAAAACTATTTTTTACAATAATGTAAAGGTTGACAATAAGGTCAATCTTCAGAATTTTTGGTGATTGTTAGATTTTTTAATCTTCGGAATGTTTATTGAATGTTAGATTTTTACAATATTCGGACTGTTCGGTGAATGTCAGATTTTTAAAATCTTCACAATGTTTAGAGAATATTAGATTTTTAAAATATTCAGAATATTTGTTGAATGCTAGATTTTATATTCAGAACATTTGGTGAATGTCAGATTTTTAAAATCTTCAGAATGTTTGGTGAATATTATATTTTTAAAATATTCATAATTTTTGGTGAATGTTATATTTTATATTCAGAATAGTTGGTGAATGTTAGATTTTTAAAATATTGAGAATTCTTGGTGAATGTTAGATTTTATATTCAGAATAGTTCGTGAATGTAAGATTTTTAAAATCTTGGGACTGTTTGGTGAATGTCAGATTTTTAAAATCTTCAGAATATTTAGTGAATATTAGATTTTTAAAATATTCAGAATTTTTGGTGAATGTTATCTTTTATATGCAGAATAGTTAGTAAATGTTAGATTTTTAAAATATTGAGATTATTTGGTGAATATTAAATATTTAAAATATTCAGAATTTTTGGTGAATGTTATATTTTATCTTCAGGATAGATGCTGAATGTTAGATTTTTAAAATATTGAGAATATTTGGTGAATGTTAGATTTTATATTCAGAATAGTTGGTGAATGTTAGATTTTTAAAATATTCAGAATTGTCGGTTGTCGTCAGATTTTTAAAATCTTTTCAATGTTTAGTGAATGTTACATTTTTAAAATATTCAGAATATTAGGTGAATGTTAGATTTTCAACATATTCAGAATTTTTGTTAACTGTCAGATTTTTAAAGTCTTCGGACTGTTTGGTGAATATCACAATTTTAAAATTTTTGGACTGTTTGGTGAATGTTAGATTTTTAAAATATTCAGAATTGTTGGTGATTGTCAGATTTTTGAAATCTTCGGACTGTTTGGTGAATATTAGATATTTATAATATTCAGAATATTTGTTGAATGTTAAATAGTTTAAAATTATTAGTAGTTACTATTAGTTTAAAATATTCATAATTTATAGTGATTGGCAGATTTTTAAAATCTTCGGAATTTTTAATGAATGTTAGATTTTTAAAATCTTTAGATTGTTTGGTGAATACTCGATTTTTGAAATATTCGGAATGTTTAGTGAATGTTAGGTTTGTAAAATATTTTGAATGTTTGGTGAATATTCGATTTTTGAAATATTCGGACTGTTTGGTGAATGTTAGATTATTAAAATCTTCAAAATGTTTGGTAAATGTTAGATTTTTAAAAGGTGCAGGATTTTGATTTTTAAAGAGTTATGAGTGAAAGAGTATTAGCTATTCGGATTTCAGAAATATAACTTGTTTGATTTAAATCTCTGTCGTGGTTCTTGGCTCGATTTTCCGTGTAGAAATTTTTATCGGTAAATTGAATTGAGCAGATTTCATTAATAGGACTTATACGTCGTATACGAGAAACAACGGGCCAGTCAACAATCCATACTATTTTTGGCAGGAATTACTTTCCCTGAGAATGAACATTCGCTTTTACGCCTTTCGGGAAATCAAATTTCACAAATATTATTTAAAGGTTCAAACAATACGATCTAATCTGGTTTGAAGTCTTCAGCCTGAATGGAAGAGTAGCGCTTCTCGAAGGCCAGTTAAACCAAAGTCCTTTTTTTAGCAAGGTCATTTCTCTCATGTTCAAGATTAATAAACCAGATGTTCATATAAGTTTTACACTCATTGTTCAGACGTGATTTTATTGCACTATTAAATCTGATTATCTGAAAAGCGTCATCAGGAGCCAATCAAATTCTTTCGGATTCTTGCTTTTGGTACACTGAATATGTTAAGCAATCTAGTCGTTAGATTAACAGTCAAAATGTCAAAAAGGTCAGTAATTTACTGGTTTTGTATTGTGTGTAGGTCGAGGTGGAAAAATTGTTCAACATGGGAGAAAAAGTATCCCCTTGTGTTGAAAAAAAGCCAGCCCTCATATTCTTAATACTAATTATAATAAAGTCAATTATAAAAATATAAAGTTTTGTCTATTCTAAATAGCATAAATAAACTTGTACCTAGAGTTGTGAGTTTTTCTTGAGGTCTGCGAGTTGATTTGTAATTTGGTCGTTTCCGATCATTGTCGACTGCCTATCCTACCTGTTTTGAACAGTCGGTTCGAATTTTTACGATCTTCAGTCTTGGGTGTTTTACCAAATGACAAATAAAGAAAAACAGCAATGCTAGGCAAACCGAAACTTTCGGAACCTACCACATTACATTTACATATAATATGTAGATAATGGAGACTTCCTTGCTTGGCAAACGCCCAAAATTTAAGTCTTTTTAGCTTTTTCTGAAACTTATATAAACAATAAAAACTAATTAGCCATACTAAAAATTGTTTTAGAGTTAGATCTATGACACCATGTTACGATATCTATCATACGATGCACAAAGTTGCATAAATCGTTCGAAATTATTTTTAAAATAATCTCCACCGGTTTTTAAAATAGAAAAGATTGCCAGGTCATATGCTAAAGAGAGCGACTAATTTAGAACAATTGAATAATCTGTTTCCTTCTGCCGGCGAGCCGCCGGGTAAGAATAAGCCCTACCAGTCCCTTATTATGGTTTACCCTCTCAGTAATAAGCACGGGCGTAAAAGAGGCAATACGGGAGGATTTTTACACAGGCTTAGCCGTATTATTAGACCTTTTTTCAACAGGCGAATGGGCTTTTTTTTACCTGCCGGGGCTATAAAGCTGCACCTATGAAAGTGGCTAGGGGGATAAAAAGACGACGCCCGTATCTGTACTTCTTGTGACTAGTCGGCCCTTCACATGCAATAAATATTTTATAAGTTTAAAATTGTCTGCTGATTAATGAATCTATTATTATTTTCGATTTTGATTAGTATATTAAAATGAATCCACACTCACGATTGTTCTTGTTTAGCTAGAACCAGGCTAGTTTTAACTAGGTTTTTTCCAAATATTTCGTGATAATGTTTGGCCTAGTAAAAATCCAGGCATATTGATAAAGTTTAAACTATTTGCGTTATCAAATAGGAACGGGTTTTCAAACTCGAAGTGGATAATTGGCAAATTGCAAAAGAAGTTTGATTTATTCTGTACTCTTGAGCTTTTTCAAACTTGATTCAAGATTAATTTCTGACGATTTTAGGATGATGTACTTCAGAACATACTATTAATCGATATTATTCCGAAGTTGTTTTTGTATACCAACAGGTAATTTGCTATCATTAAAGATGGCAAATAAATAAATTGGTGATATGTTGAAGAAATGTATTTCTTTTGTCGGAAAA